TGCTGATTACTATTAATCAAAAAAATCAGCTAATATTTATCAAGAAAATTAATTCAAGATCATATATATATATATATTATATCGAAATTTCTTATAATAGAAATATGATACTTTATTCAATCTTTATAGCATTAATCTAGTGCCATCTCCATATTTCTCAATAGAGAGCAAGATTCTATATCTAAATATATTTCTCAAATATGAATCTAAATATATTTATATTCATGAATCTAAATAAAAAATAGAATCGAATCAATATATGAGATAGATATCTTAGAAATAATAATCTTATATTTAAATTCTAAACGAGATCTTAAATAAATTCTATATAGAAATAAATCAAATCCGAATCAAATATGAATCAGATAGAAAGTATATTCAAATCCAGATATGTGCCAATCACGAACCAAATATAGATCTAGATGTAGACCTAGACCCGAACCCAAATACGAATCAGAACCAAATTAGATACGAATCAAATACGAAACTAGACACGTACTCCAAAAATTAAATAATTAGAATCTTTAGAGCCTCAAGTCGGACCTATAAGAGATCATAAAATATAGAACCAGATAAAGAAAAATATACGTACGCAAGCCCCGAAGACACAAATAATCGCGAGTTTCTCTAAGAATATTTTAAGCTTCTATTTTTTTATTTACTTAAAAATAAATCAATTTCGATTTAAATATTCAAACCTAGAGAAGAATATTAGAAAATAATATTCAAATATTTCTTATTTAATATGAATTAAGAATAACAAAATAATATCTAAGAAAATAAACATAAAATTCAAAACATATTTCTATATTTTTATAATCATCTAATTAAGAATATATTTGAAATATTCATAAATAATCAATATAATCAAGATTTACCATACCTTCCTTCCTATATAATTTCAATAGATCTAATATCTTTTGCAAAAAAATACATATACAGAAAGATCCCTAGAAGAATCTCATATATCAATACTTCTAGAAATTTTGAAGCCAAATATCCTTATAGAACTCATAAAGAATAATATCATTTTATATAATATATAAAATATTTTCATGAAAAATAAAAGATAGAATTCTTTCTCATAAATTTCGATATCATATATTATATTTAATTAATGATCGCATATTATGAAGCATAGCATATCTCAAGATTTTCGAAGCGGGTATAATCGTGAATAAATCAAGATATTGTAAATATCTATTATCGAAGAGAGCTCATTCCAAATAGTATAATTATTTAGATAGTTCATGAAAAAAGATTTGAATATTTTCGCGCGACTGGTTATCATATGTAAATTCGATAATCGAGGGCACCCGTAACTGTTTATAAGCTACCGGATCCTCCTAACTAAAACAAAACTCTGCGAACAAAATATATTTCATTGGATATCGATTGGGTTCCGTCCGAATGATATTTGATCATGAATTAGATCCCAGATCTTTTCTTCGGATTCGCTTTTCGTTTGGGTTTCGGCCTGCGGCCAATACTATGAGGTACCTGAGGGATGTTATTGGCAGCCTCAGGGCCTGTCAAGGCTGCCTCGAGATCCGCTTCCATGTCCCTCCACTTCGAGTGCCAAGCGCTCCTCACTCTTGGGCTTGCCGACTTTGCATCAAGCTCTGGGAGCACTTGGTCCGTCTCAGCTTGGGGTGCTTCTTGCACGCCCTCGCTCTCTGCAGGTTCAACCTCATTGGGAGAAGCCCAGATGTCAACTAATGGGTAAGGTTCAGATGCAGCTGCATCTTCCATTCGCATCTCGGAAGGATCCAGCTCCAGCAAAGCCGGAAGCTCGTCACGGTTCTCGTCGGGATGGTCGGGAGACCTTGGGACCGCCCGTCTGCGGCGTCGCCTCTCCTTAGGCCGAGCCCGTGCCTTGCCGACGACCCGTGCAATCCGTGCATTACTGGGCGGCGAAGTCGGTGTCCTGATTGCGGCATTCCAAGCAGTCCAACTGCGGGCCTCCCGCAAACAGTAGCAACACAGAGCCAAGCTGCAGCTGCAGGCTATGAAGCCCGTAGCAAGTGGCAGGACCAGCTCAGACAACCAGGCCGGAAAGGAAGCCACCTCGGACTCGGAAGTTATCGTGGGAATACTTGGAGCTTCTGTCCGGACTGCCTCATGAACGGGCGTCTCGAAAGAGTGTCCCACTACGCAAGGCGGGCCCGCCACAGAACAAAAAGGAGCCAGGCGGAGGATATAGTCTACAGAACAGGCCTCATCTGTGGCCGTGTGCGCTGCTTCATGGCAAACATCGCAATAGGATGCACAGCAAGCTTTGCTTGAGCTGTGAAAAAGTCCAAGCTGGCACGCAGGGTCGGGCAGATCGAAGTCTGTGCCAATGCAGGCCAACACACTGTGGTTCGTCGGACCGACGAAATGGCACATGCCAATCCGTATTGAACTTCTCGCTGTTGCATAGGAGCAGTTCTGTCCCTCCTCCAAGTCAGAACAGGCATCGACTATCATCCACGTCTCAGCCTTTTGGGAGCCTGCCCGAGCCGAGGCCTGTCATCCCTCAGCGCGTGTCACATAGGGGCTCCTGGACACAGTACATCACAGTACCACATGCACGAAACAGTTGACTTTTGATGTCCTATGCTCCTACTGAGTACCCGAGTTTGTAAGGCTTGTGAGAACTTACAATGCTTGAAACAGAAGCTGCGATCCGTGCTCATCGGCTTGCTCTCATCTTGCTCTTGCATGTGACCTGCCTCATGGATCAAAAGCTTGGGTTCGGAAATGGCAGCGGAGATGGGTTCATTCGCCCATGCTCTTCACCCCGAACAGTCTGGGGATCACTGCAAAGTGCCGGAGCTCTTTTCTTAAATTGCGTCTCTCAGGGAGGTTGAGCAGCTCGTGGCCGGAGTTGGATTCACCATCAAGGCTGAGCCGGAGTTTTCATAATGGATGTCTGCGGAAGGGTTTCCACATCCACAGATGCCATCATTGCATCCGATTTCTGCCGCCACTCAGGATCGTTCTTGAAGCCTGAGCATGGAAAGCTAGCTTCAAACCCCAAAAAAGACTCGCTATGCCCAATGATCGAGGTTGACGTGACAAAACAGATCAGGATTCAGCCTAGAAGCCGAAATCAGGGTGCCAGAAATTGGCCAGGAGTACAACCCGGTTGCCAGGATAAGGTTCGTCTGCCCTCGCCTCAGCAAAAACGACCTCGTGCTCAAACGAGTCATCGAACACCAGGCAGCGTCCCTCTTCCCAGCCTCGCGGCTCTTCGGCTGCGACGCGGATGTAACAGCCCTGCTGGCAAGAGCGTGGGACTCTGATCGCAAGGTGGCACGTCAGCCGTGCGTTGCTGGGGCCACAGTGCGGCCGCAGTCGGGTTCCAGGAGTCAGGACACTAAAAATCACGTCGCCTCCGCCGCAGAAAGCCAAGCCAGTGGCATCCGCGCAGTGTGTCTGTAGAATTCGAGTTGTTTCGGGGAACTGTTCAGTGTACTCATGCTGCTTCGCGCAGTTGGTAAAGAGCGGTACTTCTTGCCACTTCCCGGATTTCTTGAGGCCGCCGTCATGTAAAGCGCCGGGGCGATTGCCAACGTCGCCGAGGCCCGGCGTCTTGTCCGAGTCGTCCCAGTCCTTGCGGTTTGCCAACTTCTCCATGTAGGCCTCGAACTCTGCCTTGATGATGGAATAATTCTCCTCTAAGTCACGCGAGAGAGGGAAGTCCTTGCTGTCGTGGAAGGGTTTAGCCGGCAAGGAAGGCACAAAATGTGGTGGTCTTTGCCACTTTGTATACCAAATCCCATGCTTCACAGCTGTAATTGCGAGGTCGTGCACATCATTGTACCAATTCGCCGGCTCGTTGCGTTCGAGGCTGCCAATCAAATTGATGTATGCTGGACGCTGTTTGGGATCCGTTTTCAGTGACTTGCGATAGTAGCTGACACCGGCTCTGGAGAAAAGGGAGCAGTACTGCTCTACCGGAACCATCTTCGCCTGAGCGGCGTCCAGGGCCGGCAGCTTCACCTGCAATGCACCGCCGAATTTCACTTTGTCACAGAGCTTGTTCAAAAGCACACCCTGGTTGTAGTAGGCATCCGCGTCTGGAAAACGAAGGATGCAAATGATCGACCACATCCTGGCCTCGTCCTGGAATCAGCCTCTCACCCCTCCTCGCCCCTCGCTCGTTACACACCTTGCTTTCTAAGATATAGAAATCGAAGCGCTAGCGATGCAACGCTAAGCCTAAGGCCTAAGCAATGTTGTCCTCACGGCTCTCCATCTCAAGCTTCTTGGTGAGGGTGTAAGTCTTCGCTTTCCAGTCTGCGGGATCCAATCTGCAGGGGAACTTCCCAAGAACCTCGCAGGCCTGATCCAACAAGGCCTGCTCATCCATGCCACCATACCTTTGGGTTTGCAGAAACTTCAAATTCGATAGAGAAACAGAGGTGATGCTATCTACTGCGTCCCTGGTACCGAAGTCTCTCGAAACGGAAGCCCTTTTTTGAACTAGATGCTTGTAGTACCCCCACATTTGATCCAAGTCTGGTGCAGGCGTGAATGGGAGCCGCTTGTCCTGCAGCAGAGCCCTCCAAACGTTGTCATAGTCCTGACGGGAAACGGCCTCCCTTGGCAGGCCCATGGGCAAGGTAAGCGCTTGCTTGGGGACCAATTTCTCGTCGTCCGAGTCCTCGATGTTGTCGAACTTGGAATAATCGACACCACTCTTTTGGGCTTTCCGTTCACCTCGTTTGTCCCTTTCACTGGCAACATATCCAGACTGCTTCTTGATGGCGTCGCTAGTGCTCTCGGGCATCGGCTTCGCTTTGGCATCTCCTGCCTTTCTATCTTTGACTTGTGGCTGTTTGGGCACGTAAGTCGGGAATCTCTGACTCAGCAGCTGGCAGAGGAGCTGCGACACCTCCTTGCTAAGGACCGTTTTCTTTTTGCTTTCCTCGAGTGTTATTGGCTCTGCCAGCAGCAGCTGCTGCCATGACTGAGGGCGCGGAGTCAAATCGATCCAGGTGCCCTCCGGAAAAGAGTTCCACCAGTAGCGCTCGGCAACGAAAGCGGTCCCTTTAGGTTTGTCCAAACGCTCGAAGACTGCCCAGCCCTTCACTACTCCTAGTCCAGCATGTTTCGCCAAAGTCTCTGCGTTGCCAAAGCTGTGCAGAGGAACAAGGTGAAGATCCGACACCGGGGGGAGCTTCGAGAGCTGCTCCGGCGTTGGTGGCCCTGCAACAGCAACTCGTTTGGCCGGGATTCGCCCCCGTTTCCCGATCATGGACTTCAGCGCGTCACTGCCCGTGTAGACTTGCGGCCAGTCCCTTGGGAAACCGAGGCCCTTCAAAGCATCTATGTCCAAATCTCCATCAGTCACGAAATCCTCCCTGCAGAGCCAGCAAGCCTCGGAAACTCCAACAACAGCAACACCGCCGGTAGCATCTGGAAGCGCCATGGCTCTCGCCCTACGAAGTGCCGAGGCCAAGATGCATCTCAAAATTGTTCACGCACATAGAGCAAAACGGCTTGCGCGAGCACTTCCGCTCGTGAGCACTTTGAAGCAAACCCCAGGCGCTCTCACTCTCTCTCTGTGTTGGCCTTGATCTTTGAATGCTTAAACCATCGCATGTTCAAGGACACCTCTCGTGAGGGTCCTTCTCGTCTGTCGGTCTGCTGCTTCTTGTCAGGACAACTCCCTCCTCCTCTCCGTCTCTTACTCATCCTGTCCTCTTGTTCATTGGGCGCAAGGGAGAGGACCTGAGCCCTTGGCCCGCGCTCTCTCTCACTCCCAAGCACAAATCTGCAGATGATGCACCCACCCATGCACAGTCCATTTTCTTCTTCTTCTTCTACTACTACTACTACTACTACTGCTACTACTACTGCTTCTTTCACCCGTCTCTTTCGTTAGGGCTCTGGGCCGGGGATTGCTCCTACCTCTCTCTCTCTCTCCTTCTCTCCCTTTCTTTCAAGGGTCCGAAGGCTCACAGCCTCAGAGTCAGAGGACTTGAGAGTTTCACTGGAGGCCTCGGCCTGACCAGTCTATAGCAGAGCCGGCTCAGAGCCTCGGCAAAAGGCAATACAAATAGCTAAAGAGACGTTCCCCCTTCTCTCTCCCGGGTCGACTCCTCCTGACCTCTTTGAAGATTAATGGAGCTCAGCTTTTTCCCTCGCACCCCGAAAGACAGGTCCATGAAGTGTCGACGCCATCGGATGGGCTTCACATGACCGGTCTCACTGGTATCTTGGATGGAGGGGCGCATAGTAAATAGTTCGCAGACAATCACGGCTTCCACCGCAGGTGCAATTTGGAGTTTTTTTGCCATTTGCTGCCGGAAGTGATGGCCGATGGCCCAAGAGCTCGGCGAAGGCACCCCCATGTCGAGGGTATCGTCGTCACATTGTTGAGCATGCAAGATTTCAAGCTGAAGCCCAAAGTCCCCCTGCTTGGCGCAACACCTGACAGCTGAAACTTGTCACTTGTCATTCAGAAGGCTTGAAGCCCGTTGAGAAGAGGAGCTTGGGGGACGAGTTGAGGTTCGAACACCGCGCTGCTCGCTGTAAGAAGCCAAGGTCTTCCGGACACTCGCCGTCCCTTCGTTCCGCCAAACAGGGGCGACTCTACGGCTAGCTTGGGACTGTGGCCCAGGAGGATCTGAAGCTTTGGACCTCAATGTGGGCAGCTGACAACCTGAAGATGATGACAAACCGTCAAAGAGCAGCTCCGCAGACTGGTGTCACTGGCCGAGGAGAGCCTCGAGTGGGTTCGGTGTGCTTTGCGAACCGTTCGACAGGCGCCAGCTTTGGAGCAGGCCCTTAGATGCAGCTGAGGCTGAAGCCCAGCTTCTTGTTGCCGGGGGGAGTGCTACACAGCATCGGTTGTTGGTGGGACTTATCCAGGTACCGGAAAACATGTCACGATGTTGTCAAACTGTGTGGTAAATTTTCTGCCTGATTGTGCATGGATGCAGATCGGCCTGCTCTGCGGAACTGACACCCCTGATGCCACCAGCACATAGATCAACATCGGAGTGGCACATTACCGCCTGGCAGTCCTGCGCCCGAAAGGCAGCTGAGGTCAAGCTTCTCGGCCATGTTGCTCTCTGCATTGTTTGCTGCTTTGAGATGCTTACAAGGCAACGTTGACAAACTTCATTCGTCTTGTGAAGAGTAGTGCTCCTGTAGCCACGATGGTAAAACACGCCGCGAGGGCTTATCAGCAACATCTTGCTATCAAATTTGGCAAGGCTGCACACTTCCGGCAATACTTTCAACCGGCGGGAATTGGTGGCACAAGCCGGTTGCAATGTATCGGAGGTT